GGGGGGGCCAGAGGGGGCCGCGCCTCCTCCCCCCACCCCTCCCTTACCTGCTTCAGGCTTCCCGCAAATCAAATGTTCGTGGGAAGCAGGGGAGGGGGCGGAGTTGGGGCAGGGGCGTAGGCGGGGCTGGGGCCCTGTGGAGTGTCCTCCTTTTGGACACTCAAAATATGGTAACCCTAGAGAATCTTACTGCTTAATCTCCCCAAACTCATGCACTGGTGCTCTCCTGGTGAAAAAACAACCCAAAGTTGCTGGTTGCTTTGAGGCTTGCTCCCCTCAGTGTCAATGTTTTACCACTGACTGCAGTAGAAGTAGGGTCAAATGCTATATTCCTGGAGGTTTCATCACATAACAACCATTAATTAAAGATTAATGCCTGAAGAATCCTGGACAGTTGGCACCCCTAGCTACAGATTTAGGGTCTCTTCTTGGCTGGTTACAGCTTCAGAAGGTTGCTTCTCTGAGGCCTTGGCTACACTCAGGAATTCACAGCACTGAGTGTACTTCACCTCTCCGAGGGGAGGAGCTTGCAGCGCTGATCACACTGGCGGTGTACTCGGGGTGTGTGTGTGTGTGTTTTCACACCCCTGAGCGCAGCAAGTTGCTGCGCTGTACAGCGCCAGTGTAGCCAAGGCCTGAATGCTGTTTTAAGCAATCTTCTGTCTGTGGTGCTGTAATGCCAGTGCTGCAGATGTGTGGATTATTACAGAGAAGGGAGTAGCCTCTTATCTCTCCCATCATAACTCCACAAAGCCCTGCTCCTGCAGAAATGATAGTTAAAGAGCTAGTATTTAAATGACAACCTTTTTGTTGAAGCTGATCAACAGCTCCTGTAGCTAACTACTCAACTACTGAAGCAGAATACAGGAGTGTTGTACTACAGTGTGCTCCCTGTTAATGGCTCTTATCTGAGGAAGGGGCAGTATAAACAACTCTGCTTTAACATCCAGAACAGCACCCCCTGGCTTTTACTTCATTATTCCTCTAAATCAAGGGTTCTCAAACTTTTGTACTGGTGACCCCTTTCACAGAGCAAGCCTCTGGGTGACCTTCCCTTTTAAATTAAAAACATTTCTTTACATATTTAACACCATTCTAAACAGGGCCGGCTCTAACTTTTTTGCTGCCCCAAGCAGCAAAAAAAAAAAGCGCCGCGCCGCCCCCCTGCTGAGCGCCGCCGGCACCCCCCTTCCCAGTGCCACGCCCCACTGAGCGCCGCGCCGCTGGAACCCCTCCCAGCGCCGCCCGGCCCCTGCCACCAGAGCCTGCCCTCCCTGCGGAATGCCGCGCCGCGCTCCCCCCACCGCCCCTTACCATGTGCCACCCCAAGCATGTGCTTCGTTGCCTGGTGCCTGGAGCCGGCCCTGATTCTAAAGTGGGGTTTGGGGTAGAGGCTGACAGCTTGCAACCTGCCAGGTAATAACCTTATGACCCCCTGAGAGGTCCCAAGACCCAGTTTGAGAACCCCTGTTCTAAATAAACAGTACACACAACCCCCTCCTTTTCTCTACAAT